GTGTTATGAATGAATATGGAAAAAGGTTCAGGAGCGCACCCTATTATACGAAATTGCAGAAGTTTGTAAGGAGGTTATAGAAAGAAGTTGTGTGAAGAGATGTGGACAACTCTGGCACACTGAACTCCTGTGTAAGAGGATCAAGGGGCCATTTAAACCTTTGTCAGAAYAGATAATCCCATGCACAGGTACAGGTGTTAGGCTGCAGGTGTGGYGATGCCTGGTTTCCAGCTGCTGAATTAAAGCTGTCTTCAGCCAAGAAGGAATTAAGGATGTAGGGATGAATGTTTTTTCTGTGAGGTTGCCCTGCACAAAGGCTTTTATTAGGAGGGTGAGGAGGTTTTTCAGAATGGTTGAAGGACATCAATGATTTTCTGAAGGACAGCACAGATCTGTAGATGTGGGAGAAGTGTTGCTCTGTGTAGGGCAGGGAGAAGGCAAGAGGCAGCCTCTAAATGTCARTTTTTAATGCTGGCTCCTGTGAATTTTCATGTGAAAGGAGGCATTAGGAATTTTATATAGAACTTCATATTTCAAGTCTGAGATTAAGCATTCAGTGTGAATATCCAGAGTTCATTTGAAAAGTAATCATTAATGCAGCCATGAACTAAGATAGCCTAGATGAACTCTTTCATCTAGTATTTATGAGGGATAGTTCAAAGCTTGCCTGGGTACCAAATAGAGACTTCAAGGAGATAACACTAGTGTAATCATGATACTATCTTAAAACAGGAAAATTGATATAAAGATAAATCTGAGTCTAGTGAAAATAAGTACATTTTAATGTGCCTGTTTGTCTGTTGTGTTTTACTGAGAAACAACCAACCTGTTTTTAGAACTAATGTACTTATTTTTTTTATTACTAATTCTTTCCAGTTATGTGGCTGAGCAGATTGATTAAAAAAGTGCTAAAAGGRAAAAATGAAATGCTCTACAGCCTCAGTAGCAGCTTAAAACGGCACAGGAAAAGCTACAGCGTGAGGCAGGAAGCAACTAGTAGTGCTTTATGCAATGTTGCTGGATTTGCAGTACTCTAAAGGCTGTGAACTTGTAATTTTGAGGACATTCTCAACTGTGCTTTGTTATACATGAGGACAGAAGGATGATGTGAAGAAAATGCAGAGGAACCTTTCAGACAGAGGTTTGTATTCAAGTCCTTGAATATGTATGTACCTTCATCTGTATTCTGTGAGGGATGTGAGCATGTGTTTTGGGTGATTTGCTGCTGTGTGTACGCTGATGCAGACTGCTGTGTCTACAGTTCARACAGCATGAGCAAACCAGATCTGCAGGATCATGTAGAATCTCAAGCAATGTAGCATACTCTTGTACGTGTTGTTTACTTAAGGAGCTGTCAGAAAGTTTCTCTTAAAAATCTTCTCCCCTTTGTCTTTTTTTCCCCCAGCTTTCTGAACTCCTGTGCTGTGTGGCTCATTCAGGTTGTAAACTAAAATAGCACAGGAGGCATGAATTTATATGTGTTACTCCCTAATTTCAAAAGGTATTGAACCCTTTGGACTTAATCTGATGTAGCAATTGCCTGGTGAAAAAATGAACAATAGCTTTAAAGTCATCTGGGACAATGTGGATGTTCACAGAGGATTTGAAGTGCCTTTTGGAATTGGAGCCTCTATGTTCAAAACATGGCAAGATCCAGYTCTTAGGAAGCATTGTTAGTATCTTAGAACTGGAAGAGCTTTTCAATATCGTGCGCTTCTTTCTTTCACACAAGTTGTAGAAATAACTCCTGCCTTTTGTGTGCCCTCTTCCTGCACAGTCTGGTATGAAATACCACATTTTCTGATGTCTCAGCCACTTCCATGGCTGATGTACTCTGTCCAGTTGACTCATCACTGTGTATGTTTTCTTGACTTCTAATTAAAATCTGTCCTAGTCTAATATTAGACCAACGCTCCTTGTTATATCACCCTTCATTCTTAAGTAATTCATCCTGCAACCTCCTTACTCGGTATGACTAATGTCTTTTTCTCAAATATTCTTAGAACATTTTAAAATACCATCTATTTTATAAGCAGCACAGTAGCAATACCTCTCATTACAATTGCTCACCGCTTTCTGTCATAGCTCAGTGCTTTCTTTTCCTTAGGATTTTGACAAGACTTTCACCTTTGGAGGAATTTTCCATGCATTGGTGTTTGCCTCAGCCTGAGATTTCCACTTGACACTGGGGTTTTTTTTTTTGTTTCTTTTGTTTTCTGAAAGTGTAATCAGTATTTCATAAAAAAGGCTCATCTAAATCAGCTTCTGTTAGTTTCTCTCACAGAGAAGGTGGATTTATATACTTCGGTTTTAGTGTGGTTTTTTTTTTTTTTAAGGATTCCTGGGCAGATGTTTTTGGCTGAAAAATAGAAATGATTGACTGTTAGCAGGAAACTGAGCATGGGTTGGGGAATGCTCACCAAACAGGAACAAGTCTGGGGMAGGAATGTCTCTCAGTAAAGTGAGAACTACATTGATGAGCACTGAGAAGGGACTGATTGCTTACCTAATCTTTGGACATTCAAGAAATTCTTCCTAAAAACAAAAATTAATTTATCTGTCTTTAGTCCTCTTTGATGAATGTTCTCCATTTTTGTGTACTAATAACCACCTGAAACTTGTTTCCCTTATAGTTGCAAAAAAGAWAAAGTTAATTGCAGTGTTCTGTGTTTGTACTCGGAAACATTTTGCATTCACGTTTTACATTCTCCTAAGGGTTCTGTTTGGTTTTGCATGTGTAAGTGATTCTTTGCTGGCTTGTCCAGTGAAAGAAAACACAATCTGTGGATGGAGGGTGTTTGTTGTAGCTAAGCATTGTTGCTGTTTTAATCCTTCCTRTATGCTTGCAGTCCATAGTTGTGCTGGAGCAGCACCCTGATGGGATGGTGCAAAGGTTCATTTTTGTTATATGAGTGGCTGCTGTTTCTTGTTCATATCTGGGTCCAGACATGAGCACCAGATTTGTTTGAGGAAGGATTTTTTCCCTCAAAGGTAGAGTTGAGACAAACCTTTGTTGCCTGTGTGTATGGTGCTGTAGACTGTGTATGAGGGTCTGGGTCTGTATTATCAATTCACTGCTTGCCTTTTCAGAAGCCTTGCAGCTTGCTGATGTTTTTGCCTGTGGCACTTGATACTTTTGGCTTCTGAGAGCTGAAATGCTTTAATTCAACTATAGTCCTTGGGATCAATACAGCAGTGTCTCGGTAGGGCTTGAGAGCCTGTGGTCTATTAATGATCTAACAAGATGTTACAGAAATTCTTTTTGGCTTTAGATTTCATAAAACTCAGTTTCAGTCCCTGTAGTTAGTATAAAATAGAGCTGCCTGCCTACCCTTTCCCAGTCCACTAATAGGGTTCTGTGGAAGTGCAGTAACCTGGTCTGATGTAAATGCCTGAAGTTTGGTCTATGTTTAAATTTGCTATGTACATTTTTGCAGCTGCAGATGTTTTTAGCAGAAACATATATAAATTGCAAAGTAAATACACTAACTTCAGAACAAGCAGGTTTTTTAAACCTGAAATTGTCTTCCTAATCTAAGATAGACTAGTCATTCTCKTAATGAAATTAAATTTAATCCTTTAACCTAACAAAATGTGGCTACTATGTTGAAACACCTCACTTTTATTGAATGTAGTGTGTGACTGGTTTCTTTTCCCTGAACTGCTAGGAAGCTGCAAAGGAGGGAAAGCTTTGTGCCCTTGAGAGAGAAGGACAACTAATTTTATCACTTAATTATTTTAGGGGAGCATTATCAGTGAACTGAGAGAATGCATCTGGAAAACTTGCAGGGATTGGAGTGAAAGATACCACAGCCAGCAGATTTTCAAGGAAAATGTGTATACTTCTCCTGTATATGACCTGAAGTTTCCAGTTTATTTACAAAATGCATTATCACCTTAAACTCAACTAACCAGCAGTGCCTCCCTGTATCCCTTTCAAGACAGTTTAACAGCACTCAAAGAAAAAGGGAGGTGTTCAAATTTCCAAGGGCATATGTTATGGCACCTGTTTAGAAAGCCCAGTGTTGTCACCTTTGGGTAGTGACTGGAACCCCTTGGACCTGACCCCTCTGTGAGGTGTGCATGTACTGACTGATAGGAAGAGGTGTGTGTGTTCAAGCTGGCTTGCTGGACTGGATGGTATTTTCCCCAAATTCACATCTTTTGGCCTATAAACTTGATGACTTCAGTTCAACTCTGGAGAGCAGTTTGAAGCTTGGCTGAAGCGTTTACCTAACTCRAGGTCATTGCAGGCTTCTTTCTGGGCTAGAATGTGGGTTGATGCTTCTAGTTAAAACTAAGCTGAAAACGTGCTGTGTGTATGCCACTATTTTAATTGGAAGCCCAGAAGGGACAGCTTTTCATGTCTTATCTCCAGGGATCTAGTCACTTCATTAAGAAAATAAAGCTGTCGCTTTGTGTGTATATATATATATATATATATATATATATTTAAATTCTGGGAAGCAAAGGTAAGAAACATTGCTTTATGGATGTTATCCATACTGGAAAGTGGTGTTTTGGGTGTCAGTCCTGCAGCACTGAATGTAGTATAACAACCCTTGGAGAGAAGGGTGAGCCATGTAGTGCTGATTTTGTTTAAAGTTTCCTTTCCTTGGCCAAAGTATGATTCCTGTGAAAACAAACCAGTGCATTTCCAATGCTTAATGACAGTKGTGCTGGTGTTCCTGACTAACCAGCTGTCTCCTGAGGGCTACTGCTCTGTTACCAATAGTAGTGACAGAAGGTTACTTCTATCAGGAATACATAAACTCTGTTAAATGCAGTTCATGCAATGAATTGTTTATGGCAAAGAAGGGAAGCTGAAAGAAATCTTTTATGTTACAATAAGTGTTTTTGTGTGTGCTTTCAGAAATAAGTTTTCATTAGGCTTTTGAAGCTGTAGATAAAATGCATTAAAAAGTTCTGGTTTTGAATTGGCATCCACATGTTTCAGGAACTTGGTGAATAAGTCCTCTTGACATGTGTTTTGTGTTTAGAAGCTGGCAAGGTGTTTACCTGGGGCAGAGCAGACTACGGGCAGCTTGGAAGGCACGCGGTGGTTCCCAGTGGACAGCAGAGCACAGCATCTGAACAGTGCTTGGAGCTGTTGTGTAACATCCCTGTTTCGGTTCCTTGCCTAAATGGAGCATCCCAGGTAAAGAAGAAAATTACCATTTCCATCCCCACTCTCCCTTTTTTTTTTTTCTTTCTTTTGTGCATTGAAATAACCAGAATGGTTTCCTAATAGAATCTTTTCAAATGTTGCAGCACAAGACCTTGCTTGCTCTTCCTGTAAGCTCAGAAATTAATAAAATCAAATTATTTCTATTGAAAGACTTTTGCATTCAGGAACTGACTTTTCCATGGTGGATTCAGGTTTACCATTAGTAAAAAGAATGCCAAATTCTCTCAGGTGTCAATGTGTGTAGGAGAAAGTTGTACCTGCAGTGCAGCTGAACAGAGGAGGTGGGACTTTGCCCARTTGCAGCACTACTTTTGTCTGAAACTCCAGACCAGCACCCTGTAAATCACATCTGGTGATCTCTCTGAGCCAGGGGAGAGGTTTGCATGATGCATAAACAGTTCTCCTGGCTTGTATTTCAGCTGAGAGAGTGGAAATTCCCAGTACTGTGGGGGCAGGAACAAAAGTTGTGATGTTTTTGAGACATGTGTTTGATGGCTGATCCAGAACTTCTGCCCACTATGCTCACTCTTGATCTCTTGTGCTCCTTGAGAGATCTCCAGTTTGAATTGCAGGGTGAGTGAAGAAGGGGCACATTCAGGAAAGCAGAGATGGGAGAGCAGGTGGAAGAACGTGGATTTTGTTAAAGGTGCAGCCTTGTTGGCTTAAAATCAGATTAATTATCTGTCCAGGTGCCACTGTCAGAGTGTAATCATCCAGGGCAGTAAACTTCAACAAGGGATTAAACAAAACCTGTGAAACTTCTGAAAAGTGACCTTGTTCTAAAAAAGGCTGAAGTGTTAAAACCAACCAACCAGAAAGTTCTCCAGCCACATGGCCCAAGTTGCAGAGGGCAAAGGCAGGGAAAAGGAGAGTGAAGCACTGCTTACTCTCAGAAAAGACCAGGTTTGACACCATTTAAGGAATTTGAAGGTGCAGAAGTCCATGGGTCCTGACCGAGCTGACAGAGCAATTGGCTAGGCCATCATCCATCATACTTGAGAAGTCRTGGCAGTTTAGTGAATTTCCCACTGGAAAAAGGGAAAAATAACCCCCATTTTAAAAAAGGGAAMTAAGAAAGACCTYGGGAACTACAGGYTGGTCGGTCTCAYCTCGGTGTCTGGCAAGATCATGGAGCAGATCCTTCTGGAAACTATTCTAAGGCACTTGGAAAGTAAGGGAGTGATTGATGACAGCCAACCAGGGCAAATTTGCCCACCAGCCTGACAAATTTGGTGGCCTTCTGTGATGTGGTTTCAGCATTGGTGGGTGAGGGAAGAGCAACTGACATAATCTRCCTGGACTTGTGCAAGGCATTTGACACTTTCCCACATGGCATCCCAGCTGTAACCTGGAGAGGCATGGATTTGATGTGTGGATGACTCAGTGGATAAGAAACTGGCTGTATCTTTGCAGTCAAGGATTTGAGGTCAGTGGCTCAATGTGTAGCTGGAGAGCTGTGAGGAGTGGTGTTCCTCAGGCACTGGTATTGGGACCTGTGCTGTCTGTCAGTGACATGGACAGTGGGATGGAGGGCACCCTTAGAAAATCTGYCAACACCAAACTGTGCTGTGCAGATGACAYGCTGAAGGGAAGGGWTGCCATTCCAAGGGACCCTGACAGGAGCTCCAGAGCCCATGATGCTGCACTGATGTTTAGTCAATTTTAATTCCTCAGARTCTCAGATGGCTTTCTTGTCCCTTTTGACATGGGTGTCCTTGCTTCTCGTCATTAGTTCCCAGTAGACAACTCCATTTCTGAATCTGCTTTACACTGTTTTCCATCTGTGCTTGGTGCAGTGTCCCAAATAAGTTTTCTGTTGTTTCTCGAACAATACAAAGCCAAGGCATCTGCAGCTTTTGCACAGGGAAGCTTATCCTTGGCAGGACAAGTGACCCATGAAAGTGAAGTGATCCATTCCTTGAAAAGAAAGAGAGACAACAATCTCTTCTTTATTTTGCTGCCCTCAGTGTTGCTCCTCCTTAYAGACATGTGAGAGACCTGATTTGAGAGATTAGCAATGGCACTRTTCTRGAGCAGACATCATTCTTTGCTGAGGTAACAGCACAAAGATGATTTAAGAGGATCATCTGCATCCTAGGAGGAGCTGTGTTGATGAGARAAGAAAAAACCTAATAAGAACCTAAATTGTTTCACTTCAAGATTACAAAATAATGCCAAAGCTAGAACTTATACTTGAAAATGAGTTAAATTGCAGTATGTAGGCTATGTAGAGTGAGCTGTTCTTTTTTTAATACACATAGCTATCCCTTTTTCCATTTGTTGTCATATGGARAAGGAATTTGATTTGAGAATTGAAGTGAAAGGAATATAGAGGAGTTCTTTTCGATGTTTACCTTGAACTAACAATTCCAATTTTTGTGTTTAATGCAGAGAGACAGTTTAACAGTTGAGGTTTGTGACTGATGATTTTTATTCATGCTCTATTTTTATAAATCACTTTTAATGATTCAACTGAATTTTTGGCAAAGCTGTGGTCTGCTGATTGCCTCTGCACTTCAGTTAATTTTGTTAAAGCCGAAGTGGAGAAACTAATCTAAGGATTAGAGGACACTATAAAAGACACATGAGTTTACCTCAAGGACAGCACAGTAGATTTAACCTCCTGTGTTGCTTCTTGTCTCCATGCCCATGGCATGCCTACTTTTTCCACCACAGACCAGGGATTCTTTGAACTGATACTGTTATAATGTCTGTAGCTGCCACTTCAAAACCTAATTTTTGAAGTGTTGTGAGTGACCTATTCCATTGTGAGTTTGACTTCAACTGACGATACTGACCTTGAGAAATAAGAGCACTTTTTTCCTTTAAAATGAAGCAAAGGAAGAATGAAAGTCTGCATTTTAAATAATTGTCCCCTAATCTGAGTGTGTCTTCCTGGAAAGCTTTCAAAGTGTGTGTGGAGGTTCCTGGTGCTGATTGTTCTTGCATTTTGTGACTGCAGGACTATTTGCTGTTTTCTTTTCAGTGCTTTGGTGCATAACCACSATGGAATAGGCCAAGGCACTGAGAAGAAGTTGTGTGAGGTATTTTGCATGAAGTGCTCTTGTGTTGTGGGGCGTCCTTGATGGGACCTCTTCAGAACATCTGACTCATCTGCTGCCTGATGCACATTCATCCGCTGCTCTTCAGATGAAAGGACAATTAAATACAAATGGCCCAAAATATGATGAGTCTCTGTATTTAGCAAATGCTACAAAGACCTGGTTTAATGATTCCTCCTTGTCAAAATGCTTTTCCAGTCTGTTTGGTATTTTTGGCTTTAATAGCTATCATTCTACTGTTTATGGTATGTTCAGCATGTCATTCACATTGCAGCAAACATTTGCTGCAGCGATAAATAAGTGAGAAGTGTCTGTGCAGTGCTGAATGTTTCTTGCTAAGCTGGATGGAAGGAAGGGCTGCAGTTACTTTGGATATGCATGGCTTCACATGGAGCCATGCTTTCATCATGTCCTGTCTTTTTCTACTTAAAGCAAGCTGTCCTAGATCACAGTTTTCTGAGGAAAATTTCTCTGAAAATTCAATTAGGAAATTAAAAAATAACCATCATTCAACTTGAATCTTGATGATTGATGTAGGCACCAGTTGTGTCCAGAAATGAAAATAACTGGCAGGCTTGTGACAACATGTGCCTACTGTGTTTATCCTGATCCTACTGTGGCCCATGGTTCCAATGTGTGTGTTCATCCTGTTCAATACAGATTGCTTTGGATCCTCTGTATGGTTCCTTTWTTTCAGGGAATGACATCACGAATACCCACATTCTCATGGCCCTTTGCAGTCAAAGTTCATTGCTGCTCTTTTCAGTGCAGTTGTGGTAAGATGTCATTTTTGATTAAGTGTTTGAAAAGTAGCATTGGTTTTAGCCTTTTCTTGTTTTTTTCCATTTCCCCATTCATGTTGCAAACTATATAAGCAGCTGCCTACAAGACAAATCTAAGACATCTGTATGATGATAATGAATTGCTTATATAGCTGATATATTAATGCATACACATTGTTACCTTAACATATAGTCACAATAATATTGAAAATGGAACCTTTTGGTTTAAAAAAAATTACAACAGTTTTTGACTTATCAGGGAAATTCATTAGAGGCCTCTTTGTAAGTAAACCTATAGTTGAGACTTTAAAGGGTATCAAAAGAAATAACCTGATATTATTTATCACATCTATGCTCTGTGTGTGACTTTTGAATACTTAGTTGTTTGACTGGTTACTGTAAATGTTTTTATTTTGAATGTTCAGAAGGAGAGTTTTATACTTTTGTGGGCAAGAAASAAGTTGAATTTTCCTAAACCACGTTTACTGTTCAAAGTTTGAGAATGTGTGTGTAGTAACTGATCCAATAAGCTGCTTAATAAAACCTACTCTGGGTGTTAGGGAAGGACATAAATGCAAAACAAGTGGAAGTGATGTGGAGTTTCTTACTTGGTAARCATTTAGTACATTGGTGTATGTTGTGAATTTTTTGGTTTGGGATTTTGTTTCTGTCATGAACTGGTGTCTTTTACAAGCTGGTCTTGATCCATATCATTTGAGAAATGGCATTGGTGAATTTTCCTTGATTGAATTTGTTATGCTGTTTTAGAGATGCAATGATGAAAATTTTAATATCAAGATGGTTGCTTTAATATTCTTGCATTGAGTTCTTGGCTTATCAATTRATTTTAAGTGACAATAAAGGAAAATAAAGGCCATGGAGAAGTGGATTCTGGGTACAGCTCACTGTGCAAATAATAAATTGCAGTTAAGGATGAATATAAGGGACCAAATTGTTGAAATTATCATTAGAGGGGAAAAACCCAAACAGGATGTGTAACAGAAGATGAAACTACAGTCTGCATACAGAATGCAGCAAGTCTGTGTTTGATTAGGTGTGTTTGTGTGCTCTGCATGCCCTGTGTAGGAGAGTAACACTAATCTTGGCAGCACTGCAAGAACACTAA